TATATATATATAGCAGCAGCAGCTGAAGCGTGTGTGCGGGCTGAATACGCCTGAGTGTGACAAACACTGCTTTATCTCACTTTCAAATGCAGAAAACAGGAGTAAATAGAGGATAATGGGCTCTTTGTGTAAGAAAAAAAACCTCTGCTTTCTCACGGGGAAAGACGTTGGCGGAAGAAATTTTTCACATTTTTAATATCTTGTCTTCTTTCAGCGCCTGACAAATAGACACAGTGAGTCCAGACAGCAAAAAGACAAACGAAGGAAAAACTCCACCATGAAACTGATACGTTTTTTTTTTTTTCAAATCCCTGCATGATTCACGGGATTATTTATTATTTCATATCTCAAGCCAGAAAATGTTTTTTTATTATAAGGGTAAATTTATGTGGGCTCACACACACACACCAGCCCTTTGAATTCTCAGAGAAATGTCCCCACAGGAGCTCCATCAAGCTTGGAGAAAAGAGCCTCATGAGAAATATGAAGGAGCTGCAGAAAGAGCTCCATCACTGTGAGTTTTTATACATCACGATTCAAAATGTGAGTCACAAATCCTTTCAGTGTGGTGTTTAGTCATTTACACGGTGAGAAAAAAAACTTATGTTTCCTTTAGTGTGGTTTAGTTCTGAACTTTACAAAGCTCATTCTGTTGTCAGAAGTCTGTCTCATCTCCAACGCACTGTTTTTCACTTTCAGGTTTCATCAGAAAAAAGCCCCTTTAGTTTAAAACAGCTGCCTGCAGCTCTCTGTTGCACTGTTTTCAGAGAGTGGTTTTGGCTGGGTTTAAAGTGTGTTTTGAGGGACTGAGACTTTTTAAATTTTCACAAGAGCTCAGAAACAAGAAGAAGAAGAAGAGCGCACCAGAGGGAAGCACATTTGGAACAATAAACTGTCAACACTGTAACTCTATAGCTCATCTTACTGAGAGCAAGTGATATGAGTAAAACAAAAAGAGCTGGAGGTGGAAGTGAAAAGTATCAACTTGTTTTTGGAATGTGGTTTCCAATTACGTCTGTGTGCTACTTTACTTTTCAGTTTTTTCTTTGATAATTACGAAATTCTTCTATGGAAGCCCATTTCCGCCACGCTGATAAAATAAATGAATAAAACTTGTATCTCATAATTATGACTTAGCTATCTCATAATTATGAGATAGTATCTCATAGTTATGACTTAGCTATCTCATAATTATGAGATAGTTAGCTATCTCATAATTATGAGATACTATCTCATAATTGTGACGTAGCTATCTCATAATTATTAGATACAAGTTTTATTTTTTTATCAGGGTGGTGGAAATGGGCTTCCATATCTTTCAGATTCTGCGTAACCAGCCAAGAGTTTCAGAATGAACTATGGCTTTGTTACGGAGCCCGCGAGGGGACACAGGGGGATTTTTTTTCCTTTTGCGTTCCCACGCAATACCTTTGCGTTCCCTCACAATACTTTGCGTTCCCATGCAAAAGATTGTTTTGTATATGAACTGAATTAAATCTGACTTTTATTTTGAAATATCCGGTTACCAGAACAGGATGTGTCGTTACAAGTTCGTGAAAATGACATTGATGTTGCGTGGCTGTACTGTGTTAAAATMTCGACATATGACATGAGCGKCTGTGTGATAYACAGTATTCATTCTGAAGCTGAATTAAAGCAGTAGGCTAACTCGCTAATGGTGAACATGTGAGTTTGCTAATAAACCGGCAGGCACAACAGTGATAAACTACTTTTGCGAGGTAATGCAAAAGTATTGCGAGGTAACACAACACTATTGTGTGGGAATGCAAAAGAAAAAAATCTTCCATGTCCCCTCACAGCTCTGTACTTTGTTGACTTTAGGAGCATGTGTGAATTTATAATTAAAGAAAAAGTTCCAATTTTTAAAGTGGAATTCTACGAAAAGGGTTTGAACTATTAATKTCTTACCTGTTGAGAGATATTTGAATGACCTCATTTTTGAGAAATTGAGTTTAAATCTGAGAGCTATATATTGGCGCCTTTAATTTTTAAAAAATTAATTTTGACATGGGAGATTTTCTCTGACAGCATTTCCAGGTCTAAAATCATCACTAACTATAGAAAGATTATTCCATATTTGACTATCTTTATTTCAAAAGTGTAATTTATTAGACTAAATTATAAATGTGGAAGCTGGGAACAAAGCGAGCCAACGTGAGCAGAGATGAGCAACAAAATAATGTGCACCACTAAGACTGCAGTTACRCAGGCCATGATTTTCAAAAATGGCTAAATGTAGCTGCACGGCTCGCTGGTCACTTGCAAGTATTCAGAGTACAGTGAGACTGCAAAGGAAAATCWGCCTATTTGTTCAGCAGTTTTGAGTCACCCACTAATCAGTCTGCCAACAATTGCAGCTCAGAGAGATTTCACCTTCAGGCACCACTCAAAGATTAGATAATAGTTTGAAATCAGATCAACAACTAAACAGAGAAAGAACAAACAGATGCCATTTATAAACTCACAAACTCAAAGAGATTACAGTGATATGATGAAAAGATTCTGTTCAAAGCTCCAAACTGAGCTCTGACTTTGAATGCAGTTAATTGGTCCACCACTGTTTTTCTTACAGTGAGATGTCCCAAACTGTGACGAGTACACAGAAAGTTTGGATCTGAATTTAAAGGAATCAGGAAAAAATAAATCTGAGTGCACAGAAACAGATGTTCCTTTGGATAATAATCCAAAGCATACCAGCTGCCTGGTCAAGGAAAAAATGTCTGGCTTTGCAGGAGAAGAATCAAAGCCTTGTGACTGGCCCTCCCAGAGCTTTGACCTAAAGCCCACAGACCACCAGTGGACTGCAAAATAAAAAAATTAAAAAAAGAGTTGATACTCAAATATTTGGATGAACTGAAAGCTTTAAAAACTGAAATGTGATGGGAAGTTTCAAGGCGTA